TGAAAGCAAGAAATATCTCATGGAAATGAAAAATGTGGTAGAAATCTTTTCCCAAATTCAGTAGAAACTTTGGAAGATGAAGTCAAGAGAATCTTCCAGAAGTTAGAATAAAAAGATAATGACACAATGGAATAAAATTAGATGATAAATGCAATGGAGACAAAATCCATGTCCAGGAGTTTCAAGAGGAGGAAATATTAAAATGTATACATCAAAATATTTTAAAATAATAATAGAAGAGAAATTACCCAAACTGAAGAGAACAAACCTCTAGATTGAAAAAGACCTACTGAAAAGCCAGCACAAAGCATGAAAAAAGGTTCATTCCAAGGTCCAATAGTGCAAAATTTCAAAATGGCAGGAGAAAAGAAATTATTATAAAAACTTTCAGAGACAAGCAAATCACAGACCAAGTATTAGGAATCAGAATGGCATAGGACTTTTCGATTGTAATATTGCAATCTTTAAGACAATGGAGTAGCCCCTTAAAAATCCTGAGTAAAAATTAACTTCAACATAGATTTTTATGCCTAGCCAAACTGTCAAGTGTATACATAGAAAAATGGTATTTTCAGGCATACAAATACTTTTAAAATGTATTATTCATATATTCTTTCTTATGAAAGTTATCTGGAAAACATACTTTAACTAAAACAGGAAGTAAACTGAAAAACAAGATGACTTAACCAGCCAGAAAGCAGGAAACTCTAATAGGATCATGTCTAAGGGTTGACCCAAGACAGAGATCAATGAGGACAGACATAGGCACCAAAAAGGATACATCTAGGAGGAAAATTTTAAAGGAACTGGAAATTTGTCTGATGTGTTTTATTATTGAAAAAAAATATATTACTGATGGGTAGTTGACAGATCTGTTTGAACATTGGGGAAAAAAATGTCAGTAACCTAAAACATAAGCTATTAAAAAGTAGGCAATTAATTCCAGAAATAATAAAATCTTGTATGAAAAATTAAAATAAGACGTCTCAGGAGTGAATAATATTTCTATAATCATTATAATGTAAATGCACTAGTGACTAATGATTTAACCAGAATTGTTAGATGGGAGGATGAGATAGGTCTGTTGAGTGACTTAAATTGTTACTTCTTTACTGTAGGACATCAATGATAATGTCTAATATTGCAGAATCAAGAAATAGCATTATAAATATGTCCTATAAAATATGAAGATAAATGGGACACCTGGGTGGCTCAGTGGTTAAGTGTCTGCCTTTGGCTCAGGGTGTGATCCTGGGATCTGGGATCAAGTCCCGCATCGGGCTCCTTGCATGGAGCCTGCTTCTCCCTTCATCTAGGTCTTTGTCTCTCTCTCTCTCTTTCTGTGTCTCTCATGAATAAATAAATAAATAGAATCTTTTAAAAAATAAATAAAATAAAATATGAAGATAAGTATCAGAAGAGTGCATAGGGTGGGCCATTGAGGATCAGGCTTAGAGATGGGTGCAGGGTGTAGAGTATGGGCACTGCCCTTTTTTGTTATGAGCAGTTGAGTACTATTTGACTTAAATCAGGAAATTACCCTGTTACGAAAATGTCATAAATAATAAAGTTATGTATGTCCATGTTTAAGAAAAAAAAAACTTACTATGGTATAGAAGACTGTAAATAAATAGTAAAAAAGTCTCTCTTTTTCCCTGTCCTGTGGTTGGTGCGCTTCTCCTAAGAAAGCCACTTTTAATAAGTTTCTACTTTTAGTTGTTCTGGTGGTTACATTCATGACTTGAAGTATATCTTTTGGTAAAGTGTAAAGCTATCTGGACTTGTCTTTGCCTAGTTAGCCAAAAGATGGCTACATCAAACTGCGTTGTAGACACTGCAGGTTAATGGAGTACTTTGGGATTAATGTACAACTGGCCTCTGAGTGTTGTTGGTCTTTCATCCCAGTACCACTATATACAGCCAAGGGAGTAGTGCTGACCTAGTTGGGTGAGGCAAAGGGTTATCCTGCCAGTGGGAGCATGGCATTTCTGGCAATAGATTCCTCTTCTAACTGTTGGAGTTGGTGCCATGGCAGATTTTCCTGACTCAGGGAGTAAGTGTTGAGCCCTGGTCCAGCTGGTTAGACTATTTGTTGATTTTGATGATCTGCACCAATAAGCTCTTTTTCTGGCCCAGATAATCAGAAGCAGGCAGTAATTTTCCATCTTCCTAAGAAAAATGCTTTTTGCATTTTGAAACTATAATAAAGTTTTATTCAGTTTTCATCAAAATTCTGGGGGAAATTTTATTGAACTAAATCAAGAACTGTTTAGTCCTCAATGTAGCCATATATCCTCCTGCAGTTTTTCTACTTACTGCTCTGCTGTTCTTGAAAGATCAGTAGAGAAAATAATCAGCAATAATAACACTAGCTGTGTTTTATTCAGCTCTTACTATGTGCTGGACACTCTGCTAAGTACTCAGCACCTCATTTAATCTTCCTGATAGCTTTGGGAGCTTGCTACAGCCACCAGTCCCATGTTAGGCTGAAGAATCTTTACCAGTTGAGTGACTTGTCCAAGGTAACAGGGCTGGAAGGTGTTAGAGCTGTGTCTGAAACCCTGATTTGTGTTGACTCTGGGGCCCATGTGTGTTTTGTTTTTCAAGTTTTTATTTAAATTCTAGTTAATGTGGTTTCAAGTCTAGAATTTAGTGATTCATCACTTACGTATAACACCAGTGCTCATCATAGTAAGCAGGGTCCATGTTTTTATTTCTGTGTTTGACTGGCTTTCAGTGCGGCCTCTGACTTTTTATTACATGAGAACAAGAAAGAAAACAGCTGATTTATATTCAAAACCTAATTACCAATAGAAGGTTGTATGTCTCATTATTGTCACATAGTGCTCATAAAAATAGTCGCATCTTTTCTTTTTAAGAAACTTTGGGATTTTACACATTTTTCTATTTCTGTCTTTTTTTGCTATCCTCTTAGTTCATAATTCTTTGATGTCTCCTGATATCTCTCCTTTTGTTTCCATATATTCACCATGTTCCTTTTACATTTATTTGAGGTGTCTCTATTCTCACATCTGACATACTGCAACTCTCTTCGTGATCTACCTTCTGCCAGTCTCTGCCATCTTAAATTGATCATAAACATGACTCCAGTTATTATAAAGCTGAGCTACTCTCATTTGGAATATCTGTTTAACCATTAATCTCTCTCCATTATCTATAAAAAATACAGCTTTATTAATCTGGAAGTCAAGACCTTTCACAATGAGATCCCACCTGTTATTCTATGAGTTAGCATGTCCTTACGTTCTTTCCCTCCTTTCTTGCCCATGCTAATAAATCCCTAATCTGACCTATTGAAACACAGATTTTCTCTACTACTCACTTGTTTCTTAAGTGCTTTGTATTTTGATAGTTTTATGTGTGTATGTGCGTGTATGTCTCATTTACCCATCTGAAATGTTAACTCCTAAGTGTAGAGATGAAAGCTTTCTGAGCCCACCATAATACTCAAGTAGTATGGTTTCTTGCATAGAGCAAGCACTGTGTACAAAATTAATGAGTGAATTTTTGAAATTTTAAAGTCAACATATAATTCCAATTCTATGCATATCTGCTTTTGTAAATTTCATAAATGTTAGGTGAATAAAACTTAATAGACTGATATTTTTTAATATCTTTAATTATATTAAATAATGGGATTAGAAATAAATTGGTATAACTTTATCAGTTTGAAATATTTTATAAAAACAGATCAGTTTCATTTAATATTCTGATCTGAAAGATATAGAAAATCTACTCTGAATGAAAGTGATAGGCTCATTATTACATAGGTTTTTAAAAATGAAACCATATTTGAGAACTCGTTATAAGTTTTATTAAATTGTGGATAATGTACAGTTTTGATGGAGATAAACTGAATATAGTGTAATAAATGTCAAAAAAAACAAATAATTTAGCTTATCTTGCGTAATGTATTAAATGTACTTGGAGAGTGTTCAGCATATTGAGTAATGACATGAGGAAATTTGAAATGTACTTGAATACTAAGTTTAAAACTCTTTATTAGACATGATTTTGTTTTCCAAAAGGAGATTGCATTTTTGTGAATTAAAATTACTTCTTGCTGTCTGTTGAATTTGAAAATGTTTCTACCTTTTACTTTCCCTTTTATTTGCTTTTCTGGTTTTAACAGTCTGATTATTTATCTCTTTTATTTTTTTAAAAAAATTATATATGTTATACGATAAATATTTGTACTTTAGTGTATAAATTATTAAAAACTGTGTTCTATATAAACTATTTTTGCTTTGGAATATTGAGTTTCAGTAAGATAAGGATAATTTTTCCTGAGACCAAGGAATAAACTATCATAAATTTTCATAGATTTTAGATATTTATATTTATTAATCTTAGAGTGCTTTTGTTACCTTTTTAGTGCCATTTTAGTGTAAATATTATTTTAGCTCAGAAATCTCATGTACTCTAAAGCTTAAAGGATCTCGTGCTCTGTTTTTTCCTAAAGTATTTTTTTTCCAAATAATGTTGAGCATCATAATCATGCCTTCTCTTACAACTCACATTTTTCTAAAAGATGTATTATTTTACCCTTTAATTTGGCTTTCAAAACATCACAATGAAACCATAAATATACCTTTCAGAATAGAATCACATATTTGATATAAATCACTACATGGATCTGATCGGATCTCACAAACGAAAGTGTTCTATTTTAAAGTGGTGACATTTTTAAGTTCACATTGTTTTTTAAAGGGACTGAAGCTTAAGGATGAAAGTGCAGATTCTCCATTTGACCACTCTCATTTAATCATTTCATTTCTGAAATTAGACGATCCAAAAAACCTCACTAATGTGCATTTTTGGCTGTGTTAATTTCCTTTGTCATAAAATGGAAGCTAGCCTAAATTTTCTAATAATTTTTCATCACATTAAAACTCATGACAAACCTAAAAATGAGAGCATTTTGAACTCCAGTGCGTAGAGTTTACATGGGTGCTTTTTCCCTCTCCTCTCTACCTAAGGAAATCGAGAAATTGAGATTAGAAGTGAGTGAAAGCAAGCAGCACTTGGAACAGGAGCAGCAGAAGGCAGCCCGGGCCAGAGAGGAGAGCCTGAAATTGACAGAACTGCTGAGCGAATCCGAGCACCAACTGCACCTCACCAGGTACTCCCTAATCCCATTACGCGCCAGAGCACCAATTCCATTCCGCTGATTTTTGCCACCGGCTTCCAAACAGTTGTTAGAGTTCGTCTTAATCATTCAATTCACACACAGCTTTCAGGCATATTAAGAAAAGTGGAGATGTGGTAAGCAAAACACCCAGACATGTGAATGATAAGTGTGGCAGGGAATTACTGATATATTACAAAACCTTCCATCTACAAGGCTCAAATATTTAGGTGGTTCTCTACCAATATAAGCAACACGACATATTTCTCCTACCATCACCACTACCTCTCCTGTTAATTCTGTGTCTAATAAAAATGTTGAATTGAAAGATCCGAGGGATATATTTAGGAAGAGAATCAGATGCTGTCAGTGGTGAAAGAGACAAAGTAAAAGACTTCCTGAAATGCCCGCTGAGGTGGGACTGATGTATAGGACGCTGAGACCTAAGGAGCTATGAAATTGGGAGAGGAAATTGATTGACACTGTTCATGTTCAGACCATGATTGTAACCGTGCGTTTGTGGTTTCAGATTACATGGATTCTGTCATCAAGATACTGCAATGTAATTATTAATGTCATAGAAATTTAGGGATCATGTAGCTCAGCCCTAGGTTACAAGGAGACATTTTAGATAGCAAGCACTCTATAATTTGCTCTGTGGAAAAGACACACAGACGCGCATACACACAAATGTACATACGCAGAGAAAAATTCAAATAGAGGTTGCAGATATTTTACACTCCCATATAAGTGGTTTCTTCTCACTTCGGGTTTTAGTAGTTTTTCATATTTCAGATCAAGCGTTTGGGTTTGTTCAGTTCTGAAAGTTTTTCAGTTTTTAGAGAGAACTTCATCTAAATACACATGTAAGTTTATGAGCTTTGGTTTGGTTCATAAATTAGAAAAATACTGGTCTTCTAATCATAGTAATATGTTGCATTTAAACTATGAAAGGGGACTGATCCCTTTTACATTAAATATGACAATGTAATTCTGAGCACGGTATGATAACAGATGGAGAAAAGCACCACTTGAACAGCCTGCATTTGGAGAAAAAAAATATTTTAGAGGTTGGTGAACCTCCCAAAGTTTTGGGTTAGTGTTAAGATGCCTCCAGTTCTGTTAAAAAATCAAACTTTGTTAAAAACATTTTGTTATGATAATATCCCAAATGGTTTGCCAACTTCCCTTTTAAACAGTGAAAGAGGACCAGAAGAAAGAAAAAGGGAAAAAGCAAGCAAGAAAAATCATTTATACACATGTGATATATCTGGAAAAATCCCAAGAGATAAAACACTTTTATGAGAAGAAACTCCTTAATACTGTAGAATGATAACATTCTTCTAACACCCATTCAAAGTATTGTCTTATAGAACTAAGAACGTCATGTTAACATAGTTCCTATGGCTTATTTCATCTCAGAAGTTTCAAATTTTAGCTTTATCATGATAGTTAATAGTTTTTCTTCTGTCAGACTTCTGTTGGGAGACAACCATTTGTGTGCTCAGCACTTATTAAACCACAAAAATAGGACAGCTTTCAGAGTCTCAGTGTGGCTGAGCCTCAGAAAATAAATATTAATGCTGGTTTTGTCCCCTCTGCCATCCTGTCTTATTCAGAGAGTTAATTTCTGAAGTCAGAGTCCTACAGGGAGTTTTTCTGTGCAGTATCAATTTGTACTGTCTGACAAGACCAGTTTCTTGCAAATAGAGCATATTTAAGGTACAGCAACTGCTGAAAATGGGCTAGTGGTAACTAATTCCTTTGTTCTTGAGAAAAACGGTTTTGCTTGGTTCCATAGAAAGCTCTTTCTGTTGAGCTTTATTTACAGCCAGTCTACAAAAATTGAAAACTAGTTTTACAGAAAATAAAACTTAATTACCCATTTTCTGAGTGCAGCACTCTTTTGTAAGCATTTTACATTTAGTCTGTTTGTGTTTTATAAAATCCACATTCATAAATTTAAAGATGACAATTAAAAATGCAAAGAACTACATGTATCTCTCTTTTGTACTGAAAATGTGTGTTTGCTGTTGGGCTAAATATTTCTGATATATATTTTAAAGAGTTTGCATTTCCTAGACAGTCTTTATTGATTCGGTATACTCAAGTATGTGGCTGAGAAACATTATGTCTTTCTTTCCCTGTGTAGACCAGCCAAAGTAAGTAAATACCACACAGGTAGCTTAGTCTTCACTTAAACATTTCGAATGACATAGTCTAAACAAAGTTTAACATCAAATATGAAAACCACGTTATAAGTAATGATGAAATAAGAATGCAGATCTTCCAGGGCAAAGAAAATTGAAAAACTGGAGTATTAATCTATAGATCATCTGTATCTGAAAGACATATCAGCTATCACTCATCTGTCTTTTCCTTTTTATTGTCTAATTAGACTTAAAATAGAAGATAGAGGGATCCCTGGGTGGCGCAGCGGTTTAGCGCCTGCCTTTGGCCCAGGGCGCGATCCTGGAGACCCGGGATTGAATCCCACGTCGGGCTCCCGGTGCGTGGAGCCTGCTTCTCCATCTGCCTGTGTCTCTGCCTCTCTCTCTCTCTGTCTCTCTCTCTCTGTCTCTCTGTGACTATCGTAAATAAATAAAAATTTTTAAAAAATTAAAAAAAAAATAGAAGATAGAGGGGCTCCTAGCTGGCTCAGTTGGTAGAACATGTAACTCTTGATCTTGGGGTTGGGAATTTGAGCCCCACGTTGGGCAGAGAGGTTACTTTAAAAAATGGAAAAGACCCACTGAAAGACCCAACTGGTAAGTTTAACAGTCACTCATTCAACAAATATTTATTGAGCACCTACTATCTTTCAAGTACATTAATAGGTTCTTGGGTCAAGAGAAAAAAAAATCAGATGCAGTTCTTCCCCTTAGGCTGCTCACACTCTGCTACTGCAGTTACAATCAAGTACCATAATAATGCAGTAATAGAAATAAAGTTACCACAGGAGCACATAGGAAGAAGAATTGGCTCACTGTGCATTGGAGGTGAAGATGACGGGGAAAGCTTTCTAGAAGAGGAGACGTTTGGAGCTGTTTTGATTAATGAGCTCTTCAATAGCAATTCTCAAAATGGAAGAAGATGGGGTGAGTAACCTGGGTGGATGGAGCAATATATACAAAGGCATAAAGATGGGACACACTCAGGTTAGGTATTTGGCAGGGGATAAACCTGGAAAGACAAACAGGGACCAGAGGCAGGGCCTTGTAGTCCATATTCTGGAGTTTTGGACATTCTGACAGTAATGGGTTACTCTTGATATATTTTAAGCAAGGCTGTTGATATGATCACTTCTTTGGGTCGATGTTCTGACTCAGCAGTGTGGAGAGTAAGTTTGGAGAGCTGATGTAAGAAATAGGAAGACCCGTTAGGGCAGAGTCAGCAACTACAGTCTATAAATATGGCTTGTTGTCTTTTTTTGTCCATGAGCTAAAAATGGTTTTTATATTTTTAAATAGCTGGGGAAGAAAAACACAAAAGAAAAATAATGTTTTGTGACACATAAAAATTATATACCCATAAATAAAGTTTTATAGGACACAGCCATGATTATCCTTTATGCATTATGTATTGGGACTATCATGGCAGAATTGAGTATGGTCCTCAAAGCCTTAAAATATCATCTGGCCCTTTACAGAAACAATTTATCAACCCTTCAGTTAGGAGGCTGTGTAATTCAAGTAAGAAAGCAAGAGAGCTTGAACTTTAAGGTGTTCAAGTATGGATTTAAGGAAGGTAAATGTAGGGTAATTGAAGACAGATTGCCTGAGAAAGAGATCATTGACTGAGGGACCCCGATTAGAGTATAAGCCCCAGTCCAGGAGGTAGTCATGAAGTCCTGGGCATGGCTTTGCCATTAAAATGGAATGGAAATATCATCTTTAAGAGGCATTTAGAGTAGCAAATGAGAGAGGCCAGAATTAAAGGTGATTCCAGACTTTCTAGCCTGTGTTAACTGAATGAGCCATTAATTCCATTAGAGGACTTAAAAGGAATAACAGAGGAAAATAATACACTGTATTTTGGGAATCAGGTGGAGATGTGCAGAGTAGGTCCAGTGTGAGGAGAAAGGTCAAGGTGTGAGGCTCTTTACTAGATGCTTTTACGTAAAGCTACTGGTAGTAGCCAAGGAAATGGGTGAAAACATAAGAGGGTCATGCTCTTAGAATAAGAGAGTGGAGCACCACCAGCCAAGGAGACTAAAGGGATCATCAGTCCTAAGAAAAGAATACAGAATGATGTAACAAAGTCACATGCTTTTCTTAGGGGAGTCCCCGGGCCTCTGAGCATTGAGGAAGCCGAGTTTTAGAATCTTCTCCTGGGCATTCACCATCTTTGCAACTTTTGACACATAGCTTAATTCTTTGAACCTGCTTGCTTACCTATAAAATGAGGCTATAACCTGATATCTAAGTTTACATCTAGCTCTAATCATCAGTGATCCTAATGGTGACTGAAGACACCCCATGACAAAGTGCCCATTTCCCAGTGTTAGGCATTTAATTTGCTTGAAATATTCTTTGTTTAGGATGTTTCCTTAGGGAGCCTCTTGGTGGTTCAGCTGGTTCAGCATCTGTCTCTTGATTTTGGCTTAGGTCATGATCTCAGGGTCCTGAGATTAAGTCCCACATCAGGCTCCATATTCAGCTGGGAGTCTGCTTGAGATTCTCTTTCCTTCCTTTGCCTTTCCCCCACCCACTCCCTCTAAAATAAATAAATAATTTTTCCTTTTTAAAGGTGTTTTCTTAGTTTGAACTTCAGAGAGATTTTTCTGGAGTATCCTTCAGAGACCTACCATTTACATTCATCATAGCTTAGGCTCTGCTAACCTCTCACAAGGGTCATGGACCCTTCTGGTCTTTCTCACCAGGCACTGCCAATTGAATAATCATAAGCACTGTCTTGACTCTGTCACCTGCTCCTGAAACCTTCCCTGGTGTTACACTATTACAGGAGGTTTAGACCACTCATGGGTAACGTTC